CCCCCCTCACAGCCACACTTCCGTAGTACAATCGCTACGGCGGTTACTGCGCGAAAGCATGTGACGAATACGAGACTCGAACACACGACCAACGGTTTAGCAGGCTAAGACCTAACCATAAGGCTAAGTGGGCTGGGCTGGGCTGCTGGGGTGAAAGTGAAGCCCCAGGACTCAAACCTAAGCACTTCACCCCACCCCAGCACGGAGATCCCACGACGGAGATCCTGCGACCCGGTGTACCCAACCACACTCCCCCCTCACAGCCACACTTCCGTCGTACAATCGCTACGGCGGTTACTGTGCGAAAGCATGTGACGAATACGGACTCGAACACACGGCCACAGGTAAGTACCGGCCCTGCGGGGCCCTTCAACCAACAAGTACCCTTGCCGGTCATACACACACTCAACCGACAAGCACTCAGACAGGCATGCAAACCAGCCGGCACGCACACACACAGAAATGGAAATCACAGCAGAATGCGGGAATTTCAGCAAGGCATTCATTCCAGCGGCTAATCCCAGAAATCAGCAGTGTTCTCAGTCTGTGTTTTCTTTTTTTTGTTGTTGTTTTGTTTTTTTTCCTTTAAAAAAAATATTAAAAATCATAGGTGTGTAGAGCTTTTTTTTATGTACACGCCTTTTTTTTTTTTTTTTTTTTTTGCCTATTTTTTGGCCCCGAAAACATTCTCAGGTTTTATGCCCACACTCGGCCGCGGGCGGTCGGCCGCCGCGGGCTGTATCCCGACCCCGGGTCATGGAATGGCCCGTGGTCGCGACCGCGGGTGATACATAGCTGATCAGTTCTCAGCCACGGAACGACACTGGCTGAAAAGGGCCGGTCTTTTTTTCCTCGCCAAAAGCCGCAACCACAGGCAATATAGGAGGACCAGCGTTCAGATAAGGGGATTGATTCGGGAAGGAGAGGGGGGGCAGCGTGCCTGGTGTACCCCGCCCACCTCTAGCACTCTGGACGGAGTTCAGATGATCCGGATGACGAATGAGACGAGGGATAAGCATGACACAGGCACGAAGAGGGAGTACATTCGGAATGGGGAGTGTTCCCGGTGTATGCAGTGTAAGAAAGCATCTCGGTCAGGGTTTGGACGCCCCCGTTCGTGAATGTAGCCCACGGTTCCCAAGCGAAAGCTGTATGGGAGAACAACTGAAGGGGGAGGGGAGATTCAGTGGGTGCGAGAGGAAAAGACGTTTCAGCAAGTTCTTTGACCCGTTATTTGGTACGTTTTGGCAAGTTCTTTGACCCGTCTTGAAAGATAACAGTCACTTAGCGCTCTTTAAGCCATTGCACCTTGATGTGGTTGATGGAGGGGTTCAACGTGAAGGTTGCTGCCCTACCTTCTTCCTTCATCTCCCCGACGTCAATTTCAGGCAGTATAATCCCATGCCAAAGCACATAGCCAGCATCTGTCTGATGCGTGGCTCGTCTTCTGAGTAGTCCGTAAAAGCTGGGGGCGGAAAGCGTCCTTGTGGCTGGTTCTCCTCCTCGGCTGCGTGGATTGCTTCATCCATTGACGGTCCTTGGGCATCGCAGCCTGAGGGTTGGCTGGGATCCCTCCAGGGTTGTTGACTGCCTCCATAGCTATCCCCGTGCTCTCAAACAGAGAGTCTGCCGTGGGCTCCTGCTGGTGTAAACTCACCACTGAGTCACCAGTATTGTGTAACAAGTCTCGAACAAAACAGTTGAATGTGCTGAGAGTAGGCTACCCTTGACCGTCCAAGCTCACGGCCATAGCCGTGTTGCCTGTCAAAGGACAGGCACGTTGGGTAGTCAACGAGGGCTTCACCCTTTTGCATCGTCTTCGTTGGGTAGGTCGGCCGGCAGTCGGTGGACCGACTGACAGTGGGACCGAGCGCATTGCGCCGTGAACGGGGGGTCCCCTGTGTGTCCTCCAGTGAGAGCGCTCTCAAGTTTTCAACAAGCTGTGTGCGTCCTCCATTGAATGTTGAAGTGGTGGCTACAAGAACGAACGTGAGAGTCTGCCACAGCAAGAGCCCAGAGCTCTGGCCGATTAAGGATAGTTTGAAGAAACAGTGGAGGGATTCTGATGGAGTTGAACGTGCGCTGCTTAAACTGTGGGTGTGAACTAAGATGGGTCTGTGTGATAGGGCAGTGCCATCAGCCTAAAAAAGGTGATGGTGAGGTATTGAGAACAAATGATGTCGATCTGAGGAATACACGGGATGATATTCACAGTTCAGGGGGAGATGATGACGATAATGAGGATGATGATAATGATAATAATGATAACGTTAATGATGATGATGTTGATGATAATGGTGATATGCATGGTTGGAATCTTTGGTATCAGAAGACTGGGGATAATGATAATGATGCGGATAATGAATCATTGGAACCGTTGGAATCACCTCAAAATGGTGAC